TATTTAATCCTACATTATATTGCACTATTGTTAATAGTCTAGTGTATATTACAGGTACTTGTCCGGACATCTCCTATGCAATTCACATTGTTAGTCAATTTATCCTATGCAGTTCACATTGTTACTCAATTTATTGTCTCACCTAAGGATTAAAATATTGTTTCGAAACATCCAAAACGTTTCCGTTTTCAAGGAGACTGAAGATAGAATCGAAATTCTAATATTTTGAGGAATTCCATAATATTTTGAGATATATTATAATATTTTAATACATTTGCACAATTATTTCGAAATATTTCAAGCTATTTCAAGATATTTTGATATATTTCAATCAATGTTTTAGAAAAATAATTCTTAAATTTTTTATTTTTTTCATTATGTTTCTGAAACGGAACGAAATATTTTTGAAACATGTCAAAACGTTTCCGTTTCCTAGGTGACCGAAACGAAATTTTGATCCTTGGTCTCACCTACCTCTATTCACTGGGATGTTGTTCTCCGTATTCTTTACTATCTTCGAGGCACCGTGCATCATACCTCAAGGCTTATTATGGTGCTAACTAGGCTAACAACTATACAGATTGTAAGTCCATCACTGGATTTTGTCTCTTTTTTTTATGATTTCTTTATTTCTTAGTAGAGCAAAAAACAAACTATAGTTAGTCGTTTTTCTGCTAAGGTCGAGTGCCACAACTGAGAGAGTTTGGTTGCAATGGTTTCTTGCACACAATTCAATGTTTCATGAGCATATAAAACATATTGACATTGATTGTCATTTTGTGCATTCTCATCTTCAACTAGACACTATTTCTCTTCCCTTCCTTCCTTTTACTATGCAATTGACAGACTTCCTTACGAAGTCACAAACCATTATGCGCTTCCGTTTTCTCTTTGGCAAAAACATGATATTTTTTACTACCACATCATTAGTTTGAGGAGAGGTGCTAAAGTGTTTTAGTATTAGAAGTAGTTCAATCATTTTCCAATATTGTTTTGCCCTGTTACAAAAAATTTTCTCTTTGCATATTTTATTATCATGTTTTAAGCAAACAATTAGTCGTAATAATATTCTCTCTCGTTTCTCTCTTCTTTATTTGATCTTAGTTTTCACTTACAACTACCAAAATTAAAAGAGCTCAAAAACTGAGAATCTTGAGCTTAGTTTATTCCCATAGGTTAGAAGAGTTAAGCTTCATCTAAAATTCCAAAAAATAAGAAAAATAATATATGCGCATGCGTGAGAGAGATAGAGAGCACACACTGACACACGCATGTTCTTGTTGCATTAAATTGTTTGTCATGGATACTATGATCATTGTCATGTCAATGCTTTATGACTCTTAGTAATTAATTATTGTCCAATATCTCTCTTCTAGTTTAAGTAGAAAATTTCATAATAGAGAACCTAAAACCCAATTCTGTATGTTCATTACTGTGATGAAAAGTCGCTACCCTTTGGCTAAGACCCATTTGAGGTTTTGGAGGAGATTGGGCCATCTTGCCTTGTATAGGATCAATTCCTTAAAAAGACACAGTTATCCTAGCTCCTTGCCATTGAGAAAAGCCGGCGCCACAAGTCTAAGGCCTACAAAATCTTTGGGGGCATTCTTCTCCATTAGGCCTTAGTGACGGCACTGACCAAGCATAATGGATAGCTCGAGACTCGAGTCTAAGCTCAAGACTGTTGAAACTTGTTGTGGTGAATCTAAATGGCAAGATTAAAGGAGGAAAGTGTCTAACCAAGGACTTGGTTGATGTATATGTTTCTTAACCTTGTAATCAACTTTGAATATAATAGATTATGTTAGGTGGACTACGATTCCCTGGTTTTTCCCGAAAGGATTTCCACGTTAAATTGTTTTGTGTTAATTATTGTCTAATATCCCTCTTCTAGTTTAAGGATACAATTTCAAAAAAGAGAACCTGAAACAATTTTGTATGTTCATTACTTGTGATGAAAAGTTTGTATCCTTCGGCTTAGGCCATTTGACGTTTTAGAGGATATGACGCCATCTTGGTTTGTATAGCTCTTGATCACGCTGCAACTCTGAGATGCTTCCTTGGAGTCCATGGGAGAGATTTAGCTTTTACATTGTAAAGGTTGAGAGAGAGACGTAAGAAAGAATTTGAAGAAGTTACCCTACCTTCCCTTTCAACTCACACACACACACACATATAGATATATATATACATATATATATATATATATATATATCAATTTGACTAAAGACTACTATATCCCTCTTTGGATATACTTATTACATAAAAATGGCATTCTCTATATTCTAACACTCTCCCTCAAGCTAGTGAATATATATCATATAATCTCATCTTGGAACAAATATTTTTCAACTGAGAACTACTCAATGACTTAGTAAATATATCAGCAAGTTGATCCCCATATTTGATAAAGGGTGTGACAATGTCTCCACGCAACACTTTCTCTCAAACAAAATGATAATCAACGTCAATGTGCTTTTGTTCGTTCATGAAACACAGGATTAGAGGCAATATGAATAGCAGTTTGATTATCACAAAACAACTCAATCGGAGTCTTGACTAGGAAACCAATTTCCTCAAGAAAGTGTTCCCAACCATGTTAACTTACTACTCGTGTGAGTCATTGCTCGATACTCAGCTTCTGCACTAAATCGTGTCACCACTGTCCGCTTCTTGTTCTTCAATGCAATCAAATTACCTCCCAAGAAGTTACAGTAACTTGTAGTAGATTGTCTATCTGAGGAGGAATCTGCCCAATTTGCATCTATGAACCTTTTCGATCTAAGATATCCATGAGATTTATACAACAATCCAAGTCCAAGAGCTCGTTTGAGAGATCTGATAATGCAGATATCTGCATCCCAATGTGAAGAGCTTTCATAAATTGAATTACTACACTCACCGCAGATGATATATCTACTCGAGGTGCTAAAGTGTTTCTTAGAAGTAAACTCTTTGTGGATGAAGGTGAATGTTTCTCACAAGTACTAGGTTGATACAACTTACGTTCTTCATAGATGCCCATAACCTTAGAAAAGGTCAAGTTACCCTGCTCAAGGCTAAAATACTGTCGGCATACCTCATAAATATGAGTGACATTACTAGTACCAGAGTACATGTGAGTCAGACGATTCCAAATCTCTTTGGTAGTATCCAAATAAAGTAAAGAAGAACTTATGTGAGACTCAATACTAGTCAATAAGAGAGAAATAATATGTGCACCTGCCTGTTTCCATTGGTTAAAACTAGAATCACTGTATGCAGGTTTATTGTCTACCAAGTGGCTACGAAGCCTTTTATGCTTAAGAAAAATATCAACAACCCGTGCCCACAATACATAATGACTCCCATTTAATTTGACTGAGGTCATAGGAGTATTAAAGAAGGTAGTATAAAAATTGGACGGAGGAACAGAGATTATGGGAGCAGGACTAGTAGTGAGAGGCGTATTATCTAGCTTAGGATCCTTGATGGGAGAAAGAATACGGCAAGAATACCAGAGGCTACCAAAAGAGTTGGCAAGTAGAAATAAAGTCCATGAGGGATTGAACCAAAGCTGGATATCTGCGTGAACCGAAGGAGAGGTTGCTGAACTACCTGGAACTAAAACAGAACTGGCCTAAGGATGGTTGAATCGGTGGTAAACAAAGTAGAATCAGCCTGAGGGTGGCCGAACCGCCTGAAACCGAAGCAGAACCGGCTGGGACACTGCTGAACCTATGGTAAACGAAGTAAAACCAGCTTGGAGATGCCTGAACCGGTTGGGAAACTGCCTAAACCGGTTGGGAAGCTGCCTAAACTAGACCGGAGAACACAGTTGAGATGGACCGGTTTGAGTGGGCTTGGCCGGTTTTAGTGGGCTGGATCGACTGGGTCTATTGGACTAGACCCGGACGCCTAATTGGGCTTATAGATGAACCGATTTGAGTGGCCTTCACTGATTTGAGAGGGATAGACCGACTGGATCTACTAGACTGGACCTAACCACCTAATTGGGCTACTTGACTTGGTCTCGTCTAACTGAGCTTAGTTGTATATGGGCCTAACCCAATTGCCTTATCCAAGTGAGGAATAGGGATGGCTGGACTTGAGTTAGTGCAAACAAGTAGCCAAACGGGGGCCTTGCCCTTCACACCGATGGCAATTAAGGCAACGAACACCACTGCTGCCAGAGATGCCAGAACAAAACCAACTTCGACAACAACACTAGAGGTGCAACTTGGGCAGAGTAACCCGATTTCAACATGAGCCCAACTCGTAAAAATTAGGGATTGGATTAGGATTTTTAATACTTGGGTTGGGCTTGGGTCAAAAAATTTCAACCCGAATTCAATTTGGATGGGTCACGGGTTGAGGCATCAGGTTAACGGGTTGAACCCGAATATTAAAATCGGGCTCAACCCGATTTAATAATCGAGTTCAACTCGAATTAATACTATATAAATACAATTTTATCCTAGGGTTACTATCTAGTCTGTGCCTCCCTCCCCCCCTCACTCTCATTATCTCTCACTCTCACTCTCAAATCTGTGTCAGCCTTTAGCCCTCTCTCAACCTCCTTTCGAAGGAGTCCTTCGTCTTCATCAGAATCTCAGCTCTCTTAGCCTCCTTTGTATGGTTGTGATTGCATTATCTCAAACATTGAGTTCTTAATATTACGGTTTTTATGTTAAAAACTATATTGAAATTGTTGGTTGTTAATTTAGATGATTATTATATAATTTATTTATCAAGTTTAATCTAAACCGTTTAGAACAACAAGCTTATTTTAGGCTCAATCCGAACTCAACCCGAATTAAACTCGTAAAGTAAACCGAAATTAGCCTGAAATCATTAATCCAAATTCAACGTCAGCCCGTCCGAATTAAACTCGGACAGTGCTCGGGTTGAGTCTCTCAACCCGAGGTAGGGTTAGGGTTAGGGTTAGGATTGAAGATTATATACCTAGAGTTGGGCTAGGATTGACTGTCCAACTGGCCCAACCCGCCCGAGTTGCACCCCTAAACAACACCACTCAACGAAGCCAACGACACCGCCAAAGCAACAATGAGACCACAACGATCAGACCAACACCATTGGCACAAAGGCATACCCAAATGCAACCAACGCCGATACCACTATCAACAACTACGAGCAACAGGCATCAATTCCACTCAAATCACAGCGAGAACTAGTTGAACACAGTCAACTTCATCAGCAGAAAAGTCAATACGACACAAGCGATAAGCCATCGACAACACACTGTCGGGAAAATTATATATATTATTATTATTATTATTATAATACGCAAGGGAGAAGAAAAGAGAGACAAGAACAAACCTTAAGAACCTTACTCTGATACCATGTAAAGGTTGAGAGAGAGATAAAAAAGAATTGGAAGTAACCTACCTTCCCTTTCAACTCATATATACATGTATCTCAATATGACTAAAGACTATTATATCCCTCTAGGGATATAATTATTACATAAATGTCATTCTCTATATTCTAACATACATATCGCCGCCAATAAATGTCACATGCCACCTTTCGTGAACAGCTACGCCCAAGAATGATGAATTGTGATATAGAGCCGAATAAGCCAGTGGTTTATTCTACATTCAAAATCCATAAGGATTTTAAGAGAGAGAAAATAGGGGGCCCTATACCATATATCCTATTGCCTCGAGATGATTGCACATTACATCAATAACAACACAACCAAATGGAGGCAGAACCCCTTTAATAGGCTGAGCGCACGCGGTTTATACTAATTAATATAATATTAATTAATGGTTTTTCCCAAAAAAATGAGAATATAATCTCGAAGATCTAGTCGAATGGTAGAAGAATATATAGGTTCATTAGGAATCAATAGTCATCTAAACAAACGAGTCACAGCTGACCAAGAAGAGGAGACATCAACAACGGATCTACTAGCTAATAGTTGGAAAAGAAATGACAAGACCACCTATCATATATTTCTATCCAGATATTCGAATAGCAAATGAAAGACCAAGAGATTGGATCTAGATAGCACTTTCAGCAAGGTTGACAGTCGTATGGCCCTCATTCAGCTAGAAGGAGGAAACCAATCCCGACACAACCGATGACTTAGTCTCCTTCTCCGTGGCCCCTCCGTTAACTAAATCTTCTTATAGCTTTCTTTTATTATTTTGTATAGACCTTAATCGAATTATTCTTAACAATTTTACTCCAAGTTTCTAGGGTTAGAAGTGTCAAACATGGGTTAAAATTATGATTTTTATTTTCAAATTGAAAAGAGAAAATAAGGGTTGGAAATGTGCTCAAGAGTGGTATGATGTGTCAATGTCCAACGTGTGCTCGACAAGAACACTGGGCCATTTAAGAAGTGTTTGTGCTTCTTAGCCTGTCACTACTCAAACAGTTACAGTATTAAGCCTCATACAAGTTTCCAGTTGTATTGCTCAATTTTTGCAGAGTAAACATAATGAAGCTTTCCAGGCAATGATGAACAATAGTTAACGTTATTGATGGAATTCAGGGTTTGCATCTGTTTAGGAGCAATTCATCACTTCTTTTTTTAGCATACAAAACTATGCTCTCTACTGTAATAACGAACCTAGGAAACAAAAATGCCCTCTATATGAAGGATTGGTATTCAAAAGAATCAAAACATACCTGTACCTATGTACAGAAGAGTCATTATTATGACATCATCCAATGAAGCAAAAAAAATAAAGTCTCCATAAATTCTGAAGAAAATTAGAGCACAGGAATACCTTTGCATCTAGCACATCAATGGACAAAAACTGAGTCAAGCGATCAATCAGCACGTGCTCTACCTGTAGATATGATATCCAATCATTTCCTAGAGTCACAAAAAAGTGTATTCAATAAAGCTTACCATAAGAGAAATGGTCCTAAAGTTCCCCTCCAAAAGAATCAAAATTTTATTTTGAAATGTTTGGAAAGGCCAAAACATTTCAGTTTGCCGAAACAAACAAGTGATTAAATCAAAATTTCAATGCTTCGATGTGTTTCGGAATATTTCAAAACATTTCGGCATGTTTCCATTAATGTTTCGAATTGTTTTGATGTGTTTCAACATGTTTTAGTATATGTCAACCAATGTTCAGAATATTTTGTAAAAAAATTCCAAAAAAAATTTTCGGTTTCCATTCTCTTTCCGAAACATTTTCATTACCTAGGTGACCGGAACAATATAGCGAAATGAAATTTTGATCCTTACCCTCTATCAAATAAGGCCACATTATCATGCATCTGTTATAAGTTATAACGGCCAAAGATTATCAAAGACCTTCCTCTTGTTTCATTTGAAAATTATAGAGATAGAAAGCCTTTCTTGCCTAGTTTATTTCCCGATAAGTAAGACCACCCCAGTAATCTGACTTTTTTTTTTGAGGAGCTTGCATCCATTAAAATGGTGATACAAAGACTGTAAGATTAAAAGATAGAAAGTGTTCCAGATAGTTTTTTCAGTCAGAGGGTGCCTGGTCATCGAAATTCAAGAATTTAGTTTGTGGAAACTAAACAATAGGTTTCATAGCCCTAAATCCAAAGTAGGCTGTGCAGGCTCAACAACCAATTTACCCCAGCCCAGCCCGCAATTTGATTAGTATTGCACTGCAATTTTGCCCAAGTCTTGGAAGAGAAAGTCAACCCAAACTGAAACTAGGCTGGGCTTGGGCAGGACTCTCGAGCAATGCAAACCAAGCCAAAACAAATGTCTTAAATATACTATTAAGCGTCTTCTTTAGGTTGGAATATTATAGTGTGCAGCATTATCGTAAATATGGAATTGCTGCCTTCCTAACATAGTGTAGTGCAAACTATCGTAGACTAATTGTTTTCATAATCTCCCTCACTTCTCCTTTTTTTCTCTCAAACCCTAATATCCGAGTATCTTACTTTATAACTTAGCATTCTAGCGACAACCTACAACAACAAATCATACAAAAAATCTCATATTCCTTTCCAACCAAATTATCCAAAGAGTAGCGAAGCAAGCAGACCGCCAAATAGTCTTCCACCGTCTATTTCCCTCGTCCCTAATATCTTCCAAGCATAACATGGAAAACAAGGTTCTCGATGCCACCCAACATATACCTATAAGACTATAAAACCTGTTCCACAATGAGAATGTTGAAGGACAATGTAAGAATAAATGGTTCACACTCTCAGTGACACCTTTACACAAACCACACCATTGTGGTAATAGAGAAGCCATGGATCTCCTTATTTGAAGCACATCACAAGTGTTAATTGTTCCATGAGCAATTATCCAAACACAGATTTGCACCTTTAAATGCAATGATAAATATTCTTACCCAAAAGTATTTTTTATTCCTTCAAAGAAATCAATTCCTTAACAAGATGTAAGGTGATCGGAACTAGGATTCATAATAAAATGAAGGATGAATTGCTGAGAAATTTAAAAGTTAACCAATCAAGTATAGACAATTTTTATGATTTGAAAGAACATCATGTTCCACTTTAATATGACTGGGTGAAAATATAAAAAATTCAAGTTATTTTGTGCCTTCTTTGTCCCTAGGTTGTTAAGGATATTCCATTTACTTTAGTGTCAAATCTCCATATATTTCTCATGTTTGATCTTTAAATTTTTTTATTTATATTTTGCCCCCTCTCATATGAAATCCTGTTCCGCCCTTAGATCCACATTACCTAAGATATTTGTGCTTTTACTTGTACAATTATTTGTATATATGGTATCTTATAGACTTTCCACTACATTTAATACAATCACTACTTCGGGCCACAGAACACCTATCATTCATCCTAAGCCTTAGATTAAAACAAGAAACAAACCTAAGCCCTAATCAAACAAACAGCTTATCCATCTCTTTATCACCATATCCAAAACTAGACAAATTGACTGACAATATGAAACAACAGATGGTTGCTTCGTTGTTGCAAAGACAAAAATGCTACTGCCTTGGATCATGCAAGAGTCAAACGAGTTTCCTTCTATCTTAACAAAACTATACGCCCTCTCTTACCTATTTCCCTTTCTCTCTGGAATTATACATGAACTAGAACTTGTAGCTATATACATATACATTGGAGATCCAGTCTTGTGCTTTGGTTTAGTACTAATTTGTGAGAGAACAGGTATATACTTCGGGCTACCCAAACTCCATCCGGATTCTTGAAATCAAATGCATGTTGAGCTAGGGTTTAGGTAGTCAGGTCCAATCGATCAGTCTCAATGTACCAATATAATATATTAGTATGAACTTAACAGTGAAAATGCAGTTAATTAAAGTAAACAATGACCACAGCTCTGAGAATTGTCAAAGATGATTTCACCAAAACCTCTACTCTAAGCACATAAAACTCATAACATTACCATCGTAAGAACTAAAGGTATCAACTAGACACAGGCTTATTGTGCGCATTTAGAAGTCAAGATGCCACATGAAGTTGTTAATGGATTTCAAAGAAAAATGTACTAATCATGCAACTTAACCTCACATGGTAGATCCTTAACATGGAATGCAATTTGCTCACTTACTTGGGAACGAAGAAGCTCCTTATATGTAGCAAGCTCCCTGAATGTAGTAATGAACTTTGACATGATTGGACCTGGTGTGAAAGAAGTAAATAAGAACAAAAGGAACTGCAGCTATCTCACTCTGGGGATTGTAAGCTTCACATGACATGCTAGTTGGACTGTGTCGAGGCATTAACAAGCTTACTTTTAGCATGTCTTTTAGTTCAATTTTACAATGAATTAAGCAAGCACTCATCAACTTAGACAGCCAACCACAAGCTACATGTTTGACCATTTCACATAGGAACATCAACATTGCTACCAAAATTAGCACACATGTTATCATGGTAAAAAATTAATGTCCATATTCCATGAAGTCAAAGACAATAAACAATACGGGTTAGTCTGGTTTATAACTATTAACCCAGGAGTGGAATGTTTTAAATGATCAAAAAGCAACAGGTCAACTGCATAACTCTTGCAAATTATTTACGGAAAACCTCATGAAAAATATGGTAAAATGATTTGCATCCAGTTAGCTTGGAGATAGATGCTAAAGAAACCCTTGGCAAGAACCTGTTACATGCACATTTTTATATTTAATTGCATACGAAAATTAGAGTTAGTTTTAAGAAGTTATTTGTTAAGTGGGTTAGTAGTGTGAGCAAGGATCAAAATTTTGTTTCGGTACATTGTTTCGATCACCTAGAAAACAAAAACATTTCAACTCGTTTCAAAAATAGAATAAAAAAAATAAAAATTTTAAGAATTATTTTTTCAAAACATTGGTCGAAATATACTAAAGTATCTTAAAATACTTTAAAACATTCCGAAACAATTGTGCAAATGCGTTGAAGTATTAAAAAACATTTCAAAACATTATGGAACACCTCAAAGTTTTAGAATTTCGATGTCATTACTGATTCGTTTCGGTCTCCTTGAAAACAGAAACGTTTCGAAACGAAATATTGATCCATGAGTGTGAGGTTAATGCGTAGTCTATAGATTAATTACATTATGGAGTGATGGATTAGGTTAATTATCAATGTAGTTTTATCATCATGTGTATAAAGGCATCTCTATCAATGAAATATTGTGTTGGATTTTGTATTGAACTTTTTTTTGGAAGTTTTGGAGATCTAATTCCTCTCGAAGCACACCCCCCTTGAAGCGAGTTTTCTATCCCTCAATTTTATTTTTATTTTGTTTTATAAACCTCCTAAAATCGTGATATAACAATTGGTATCAGAGCCAGATATGGAAGACTGAGTTAGTCGACTTAAAGCGAAAGTTCACATATTAAGCGTTAGGCAAAAAAGGACAATGGACGGGATGCAAAAGTTAGTTCTCGCCACGAATGCTCGCTTTGATCAATTACTGGTCGACCAATGCCACTGTCATGAGCAAGGCAAAGGGTCAACCAATCACAATGGAAGTGGCAATAATATTGACTACTCATATTCTGCTCTAGGTGGGTCAACTAACTCGATAATCTCCAAAATTACAAAGATGGATTTTCTGCGATGTGACAAGGAAGATACCATCACTTGGGTTTGTCAAGCCGAACAATTCTTGAAGTCTCAACAAACCATCACAGATGAAAAAGCCCCGTCAGCACCGATTCATCCCAAGGGAGTTGCACCATTGTAGTGTGAACTCATGGAAAACACTGAAGTGTTTACGTGGGTCCTTACCAAATTAAAACATGTGGTCTTCATTCAAGACAACCATATCCATTTTGTAAAGTTGCTTGCAATTTGCATCAAGGTAAATGAGAAAGAATGGGTGGGTGTTTTCACGTCTAGCATTCTTATCCATTGTCGATGTCTCATTAAAACCAATGCAGCCAAACACTATCGTGATTGTTATGAGGACATGGAAGTGGGCTGAACGCCTCTTTTTTATACAAGACAAATCAAACTTTGAGGACAAAGTTTGTTTAAAAGGAGAATGGAATGTTACGTGCACATTTTTATATTTAATTGCATATTTAAATTAAAGTTAGTTTTTAGAAGTTATTTGTTAAGTGGGTTAGTGGTGTGATAATGAGTAGTTTTTAGCTAGTTAATTACATTATGGAGTGAGGGATTAGGTTAGTTATCAAAGTAGTTTTATCATCCCTATCAATGAAACATGATGTTGGATTTTTACTGCACGTTCTTGTGGATGTCTTGGAGACCCGGTTCTTCTTGAAGTGAACCAACGGAGGTATACCCCCCTCGATGTGTGTTTTCTATCCTTCAATTCTATTTTTAGTTTGTTTTACAAATCTTAAGAAATCGTGCACGTAATAGAACCCTTCAACTGCTAGGAAAAACTGAATGCATGAATCATGCTTGATGTTCGCTATAATATTAATTAGCAAGGATCAAAATATCATTTCGAAACGTTCGAAACGTTTCCGTTTTTCAGGAGACCAAAACGAAACAATGATGAAATCCAAATATTAGAATTTTGAGGTATTTCATCATAATATTTCGAGATGTATTATAATATTCTAAAGTATTTGCACAATTATTTCGAAATGTTTCAATGTATTTAAAGATATTTTGATATATTTCAATCAATGTTTTAGAAAAATAATTCTTAAATTTTTTATTTTTTTTATTATGTCTCCGAAACGAGTCGAAATGTTTCCATTTTCTAGGTGCCCGAAACAATATACCAAAACAAAATTTTGATCCTTGTTAATTAGTGTTTCAGATACTAAGGATGCTTTTCCCAGAAAATGCTCTATCCCATGTGAATGCTTCAGCATCATTTATAAGGTCCTACATTCACTATGAATAAAGCAGACTATGGTTGTGGAAGCTTTCAATAACCTCCTATGGATAGGCTGACAGGATCATCTTGGCTACCACCAAATGCTTCTAAAGCTTCTGCGAATATACTGTCACCATTACAGGACTCTCCAAGAGCTTCCCTGGAGAGAGAGAGAGAGATTAGCATCCTCCGAGAATGAATTCACCATAGGCTCTGATTATTGCATAACACAAAATAACTGAAAAAAGAAACAAACAAAAAACAAAAAATTAAACACAAAGAAAAGACATGCAATGCAATGCAAGAGAAAAGCTGCAAGATCAAGGGATAAGCATCTACAGAGATATATTTCCCCTTTTTCAAAAGATCATATTTTCTATCATTTTTTATTTCCAACCTATGAATATACTTTCCTGCTTCTGTGAGCTAAGAAAATAGTGCTTCAAAAAAAGGAGAGAGAGAGAGAGAGGAGTTACATATCCTTGAGCTTTTAAAAATTCCAAATTTATAAAGGCGAAGAACACGAGTGAATTTCAAAGCTAAATATAAGACCCTGAAAACAAGATTACCCTCGTTGATGTACAAACAACTTTTTTTTCTTGTCAGTTGAACATTTTTAAGGCCAACATCCAAATGAAAACACATGAAACGCTCATATACCACTTCCTTTGATGATTTGACTGTCATATATTTCTGCAGTCATTTTCCCCACAAAATCTTTGCTAAACCACTGGATATTACCAGTGAATCAAATCCATTTATCTTAAGTTACAGAAAAACCAGCCAGTAATAGCCACTTGCCGCTGAGATAAGACTAGAGGGCTTTCAAGAGGCCATGGATACCTTCATATGCAGACGGTCTGAAAATTAACAAAAACTTGCCAAAAGAAAAGGCAGTAAGTGAATACATGTCAATATGTTTCTAAAAAAATCTGACAAATGCTGTTACTTCTCATAAATGATCAAAAACCCTACGGATAACAGTATCCATCATACACTAACTCATAAGCAAAATGCTGCTACAGTTTGACTGGCAGAGAACCCCATACATCAACCCTATAATTAAGAAATTCAAGTGTGGGGAAAGTACACGGAAAGACAACTAAAGTAAGATATAGCAATTCACGACATTCAACAATAAAACAAACATCAATATGATATCAGGCAAGAAATTCACAGCCAATAGGACACAAAAGAGGTCCAAGACCAACCTCCCTATAAGAATGGTGTTGAACTCAACAGCACATTCAAAGAATTTCAACAAACCCAAAAATAGTGTTCTTGTAAGAGATGATTTCACTACAAAGAAACTCCACTCACTTGGGTACGAGCCCTCTTTTTGTCTTAGACAGACTAATTCTTCAGAATCTGGCATAATCATTAGAGTGATGGGAAACCTTTGAGATTAAGATTCCCGAACTATTAAAATAATGGACAATAAGGAGGCATCGGCAGCAGCTTACAAAAGGGCTTCATCAGATGATGTGCTCTAGGATCCCAATTTCAAAGATGATTCATGACTGGGAGGTTGAATCAATGGATAAATTTAAAGACCTGCTTCATAATGTCCAGTTAGGACAGAGAGGATGACTGTCAATATGGGTAGCTTCAAAGGGTTGAACTTTGAAATTATCTTATAAGGTACACTCAGGAGGCTCATCAAAATTGTTCCCTTGAAAAGCTATCTGGAAACATAAATCCCTCAAAGGTAGCCCCTTTTTTTGCTGGTGCGCAGATTTGGTGATGATAATATTAGGTATAGTAAGGGGGTTCAACAAATATGTTCGGTTGAAAAGCTATCTGGAAAACAAAAATCCCCAAAAGGTGGCTTCTCTCTTGGCTTTTGCGCAGAATTGGTGAAGATCCTGATGATTGGCAACCTATGGAAGAGGCAAAAGATCATTCCTTATTGTGTTGCATTTGAGGGTACTGTCAATCGTTTGTTGTTATATTATCCGGTAATTGGTGTGTTGTGGTTGTTAAGATTGTATTTATATTTATTTTATTTTTTTATTTTTTGGTGTTTCTGTCTTTCTCTTGTAGTATGGTTTAACTAGTTATTTATTATTGTGGAATATTAGAGAATAGTAGCATGTTTTCTTCTCTCTTCCTTTTCAACACATGTTATTTTCTTTACATGATTTGATCTAGGTTTTCAGTAGTCTAGTTTTCGCTTTAGATGCAGTGTGTTGGGGTGATTGACACCCAGGTTGTATCGGAATTATGACACTGTTGGAGGATGGATTGTCTGAGGAGAAGGTGGATTGAGGTTTCAGTGGCTACCGACCTCTTGTACAATATATTGTAGTTACTCATTACTAAGGGTTTCTATTTTGTTAGAAAGAACAATTCAGCTGGCAGTATGTACAACGTACTTTTTGCTGGTTAATCAATAAGGATACGTGTGAAACCTACAGAGAAATTCCCATCAATTGGAGAGGTGAGTACAGCAAGTAAACCAATCAAGAAATCCTGCCAGAGTGCACAGTCGCAGGACAGAGTGTCCACTCAGTTGAATGCAAATGCAATGAGGGACCAATTTAACTAGTTGGACTAATATCATGCTTGAGAAGGTTTATAATTTCGGACAACCAGAGGTGGCCCAGAATGCAATGAGAGTAAAATGAAAAATTCGATTAGAGAATGAACAAAGATACAAACAACAATTGATATTAAAGAACATGAGAATCAAAGATATAGGCCAAACAACCTAGTTGTAGCTATGACTGAAGATGATCTAGTTATTTTCATAGACAAATGCAGAATAAGTAACAAATACAGAATCCTGCAGCACTCACATAAACTTCTTACACCCTCCATATAATTTTTGACATCGATCTTTTAGGTCCTCTGTTGTCTGCTCGAGAGAACGTATCTGTTCAACAGCAAAAAAAAGGTTTTTAAAGATATGGAAGTCAAGTAATAATAATGACAACAAAGGCTGCTTGGATTAAAAATTAATGAAACATACTTCAGGAGCATCCAAACAATTTTACAAGGAATGTGTCTACCCTTTTCTAAGAGGAAACAAAACATTCATCAACTAATGATAAGAGTACCAAATAGTGGACGAGTAAGCCACTTAGTGAAAAAAAAGAAAAGAAAAATACATCACTGAAGCGACATGACTATAGAGTTAAAAGAGGTGTTCATCTAGAAAAATGCGGTCAGCCAATCAAGTTTCAGGGGAAAAAATGGGAGAGCCTAAGTTCATTAGCAATTGATGCACAGAAAGAAGCCAAAATTTTGCTCTATCCCAAAGAAACTCCATATGTACTTCTTTTTTGTCCAAAAATGTTATTATTCCTTTCAACTACACAACCCGAAAGATTATTGATGGACATTTCCACAAAATTGAAGCTATACACTTCTCAAAAACATTATGATTCGTGTCAATCTCAAACACACAGCCCCTTGGAATAACCCAAACCAAACTAACCTCACTATAAACTTAATACCACATTTTTAAAAACACCGGGCAATGGGGGAAGAGATGATCCGCACTTCCACTGAATTTTTACACATTATGCACCATTGACATTGTGGAGAAAGACAAGAAGTTCGCATTCTCCTCCACAACAAATCGCAAGTGCCAAGCCCAATCCAACATCTCATGAAGTTCAAAAATTAGGGAAGATTGATCATCAATCAAGATGTACAAGTAGTATTTGCCAAAGAAATCTCTAGAAAAATCAAGGGTCAACGCCTATGAAGTACGGATACTTCGTTAAGGTCGATGCATCCGTATCGGTTATGATACTCATCGGATATTCGAGAATATATATTGAATACATACTAAACGACTAACCGTATCCAATAATAAATAAAATATATGGATACTTCTATATGTAGAGAAGGGTGTGTAATTTTTAGTTTTAATCTTTACC